CCGAAGGTTTATTACCGTGTTCACAAGAGCCATCCACTGGTCTCTCCTGAGACAGATCTATCCAATCCATACCATCCCATTCTATTTCTCTAAGACCCACTTTAATATTGTCCACCCATCTACGCCTTAGTCTTCCTTGTGGTCTCTTTCCTTCTGGCTTTCCCACCAATATCCTACACGCATTCCTCGTCTCCCCCATTCGTGCTACATGACCTGCCCACCTCATGACGATAATATTTGTCATGCATACGAGACATGAAATTAAAATAAATGAAGGACATCCACAGGGGAGATAATCTGAGGAAACTTGGATCAAAATGGAGGATAATTTAAAAAATAGTAATAAGAATAATGGGTCCATATGAGCTATAAATTAACATTAAGCTCAATTCAGAATGCAAAATTACAAAGAACGTATTTAGGATATTCTAGTCTTGCTCATGGAGCACACTTTGCAGCCAACTGTGCTTGTGTTTCGTGCAGAATAACGAACGTTAAAGCAAAAGTAGATGGACGGAAAGAAAATATACCGGTAACTTAGCAGCATGCAGGAAGTGACCATGTGTCGTAACGCCTCGGCCACACATGTCCATATAACAGGCAGCAATAAAAAGTGCCAACCATATGCACACACAATTTCCGCAGTTAAAAAACTTCCAAAAAATCGTAAAATAATTAAAAATAGAGCCATGTTATCGTTACATGTGTTGAAAAAATAAATAACAGCCTCCAGATCAAATGTGAAAAACAGACTCCATCCAACGTCGATAGTTTCCAAAACACAGGATTCGTAAGACTCGTACAAACCATTTCTTTATCATGATTCCGCAGGAAATGCTCCGTTCCTTGGTACATAACGTGTCCGTCCATCCCCTTATTTAATCAAAGACATTAATATTTATTTAAGAATAACACAATATCAGCTGATCGGAAAACATCCTAATTTATGGAACTCAGAGAATACCATCATTATCAAAAATTTTATGCTCCAACTGCTATCTCCTTTCTGGGTAACAGATTTTGAGAATGTTCCCATCAAAATTATGTATGTATTTTTTTTTCCTTGGCACTACAGCCCCAGTGGATCTAGGCCTACCTCCATGAACTTCTCCGTTCACTTCAGTTTTTCTAGATCTTACACATACGGTAGGACTCCTTGGGCGGGTGATCAGCTCGTCGCAAGGCCTCTATCTGTACACAAACACAGAAAACCGCACACAAACGTTTATGCCCTGAGTGGGATTCGAACCCACGATCCCGGCTTCCGAACGAGCGAAGACAGTGCATGCCTTAGACCGCTCGGCTACCGTGACCGGCAGTGTAGAAGAAGAATATTTAAGAATTCAGTTCGTACCTCACAGGAAACATCCGAATCCACTGTCCCGGCTTCCGAGCGAGCTAAGACAGTGCATGCCTTAGACCGCTCGGCTACCGTGACCGGCACTATGTTATTATAAAATCGTGGCTAAGTATGAAGGAGTTGTTTGGAGGCAGGTAATCTTCTTGTACCTACTGAATAAATCAGTACGTCAGAAAACTTCCTGATTAAGGGCAATATGCTTGAAATGCAGAATACATAATAATTGCTGCATTGCCCGAATATAATGTCCATTTTTTGATCTGAACTAAGTGACTAGCTATATAGAGTAGCCATTCTTCAGAAGCTAATAGTCGGTCAGCTGACCAAGATATTTCTCACTGTATATACAGTCAGAAGTTTTATCGCCGTATTCATATCAGAGAGCCGCTGGAACCTATCCTGAGCCAGATTATACCAACCGACATCTTGAATCCTCTTTCTTTCGAATTAGATTTAATGTTGTACTCCGATGTACGCATGTCTCTCAAGTAGTCACTTGAGGCTGTCACACTAAATGTCGTATACATGTGTACGTGCTACATGTACGTAGGCCTATAATGCACGCATAAGAATAAGATGATTCTGAAAACGAAAAGCCTTTTGAGTGGGGGTCAGAAAAGTTTCACGAAGAGTAACGCACTCACTTGTTATGTAATGAAATTCCTTGTTCACTTCGTACAAATAATCGAATCCTGCGTCCTTTGAACCTTAATCACATTGAGTCACCCTCCCTGTAGACAGTTCATATGCTGCAGACGAAACTTTGGCTCACTCTGATTGAATAGGCATAACCGCAGCGACGTGGTCCACGGTTATTTGAGGCTCCAATTCAAATGTAGGTCTCGTCTTTGACACGGTACATCTGAACACTCCGAAAAATCAGACCTTACTGCGTTTTAAAGACGCTTTATCATCTGCACAAATGTAGTCAGGGGCGATAACTGAGTACAGCACAGCAGGAAAGTTTGTGGTCTATTTGAAGTCGCTGCGTCTAGCGTTTCCGGAGAAGAATAAAAGGAAATCAAGAAAACATCAGAAAATTAATTGGCCTCCGGACCAAAAATCGAACCAGGGGCTCTCTTTGAACGCGAAATGGCGCTGAAGTACTCAATTGTGTTGTTCTGTGATTATATACAGCGAGCTTTTTAAAAAGTATTTTTAAACTACACAGTCATATAGTATAGAACAGGATGAAAATAAATTATGGCACGAAAAGACTGTAAGAGGAATCTGCATATTTTAGCGTAGGCACACTAACCCTGATTTTGCATAGAGGGACTGAGAAATGTCACGAGACACAGTCTGAATGGCAACCCTCAATGATCTTAGGTGGCTGGTGGTTGGCTATTTAATCAATCGACAGACGGATTGATGGATTGATCGACAGATAGAATGATGGATGGATGGAAGGAAGAATAGATGGATGAATGGATGGATTGATGGAGAGATGGACAGAGAGATAAACAGCTAGATATCGATATAGATGATAGATACAGTCAGACAGAGGCAGATACAGACAGACAGACAGGTAGGTAGGCAGGTAAACAGAAAGAATGCATCCATACATACATACATACAGATAGACAGATTGATGGGTGGGTGGGTGGACGGACGAACGGACGGAGATGATAGATACAGTCAGACAGAGGCAGATACAGACAGACAGACATACAGATAGACGGATTGATGGGTGGGTGGGTGGACGGACGGACGGACGGACGGACGAACATATAGATAGATAGATAGATAGATAGATAGGTGGGTGGGTGGAAAGATAATCATGGCAATATAAAAATACTCATTAATTTCTGCATAATGCGCCACTGTTCAACTCCTTGGAACAATTTACTCCAAATTGTGATCGTGTTAGTATTAAATTTGATACATATAAAAAGAGAATTTACTCTTTTTGAAAACGTCAACGCCAGCATACTTTCAATTTTTTGTAGATACAGTCTCCATTGCCTTCATAATAGTATTCATTACCAACAGAACTTGATACTCACTAAAATTATCCGTAAGACAAATAATCTAATTTGTTTTAGCTAACTGATGCTCAATATATTCTGCATAAGTGATCAGAAATCTGTTCTGAATCACTTTGATGATACATGTGTAAAACAACGCGTGTACGTAGACGGGCTGCCCATATAGTTCTGTGCAGTACAGTATGACTTATGACACAAGATATGTAATTTTTTCTTTCAGTTTTCCTAGTGCAAATGACAGACTGTATTGAGACATAGTAGTTAAAACAAATTACATGATGTAACTAATATGACATTTACAAATAAACAGTTTCTTATGATATATCTGACTTCAGAATATTTAAGTTATTTGAAAAGAATAGATGTACATTTACATACCAAAATATTAAGGTGACAAATAATGGATCAGTCCTTACCAAAATAGAAGAAAAAAGTCCTTTATAGACAAAAAAGGTAAGTCATTCTACTGATTCGTCCTAAGGAAATTTGCGTTAGAATAACGCAGTACTGATACAAGGTTGTGGATGTTATAATTTACAATTTAAATTACACTAACCACAAATTAATTCCTTTATCTTTCTTGGAAGAATTTAAATACATGTCATAATTTGTTTCGGCGTTTTAAGCCTTGTTCAGTATACGAAATTATATCGTATCCTATGCCTATACGAGATTCTAATATTACTTATTCTTTGAAACAAAGAAAAGAACGTCTTATTTGGTAGCCATTCCTGTCCGCCTGTTCGTCACCTAGTATCAGGGTCTAAACTGCTGGACAAATTTCTTAAAATTTTACATACGAAATGTTTCCCACGAGCTGCTGTTAATACTCCGATTATCAGCCACAGTGATCCACAGTAAAGTTTAATTTACATACGGACAAAGGCAGATTTACCTTACACGCATAGCCCAATTCTGATATTTCGTTGATCTTGGATGAAGAGAGACTTACTTTAACAGTTCTCGGATGCTTCCCCTTTACAGCCATACTGATTCATAAGAAAACCTGGTTTGCACAAATGGACTTTTTCATATACCCCTAAACACTTCAATAGATCTCACTGAAATTCTCTTTGGAACGAAATTCACTAATTTATATTTAATTATTCACATTAAACCGAGATTAACGGCCGTGGGGATCCGTTGTGCTGACCACGTGACACCGCAAAAGTGGCACTAACTTCGCAGACAAGCGGCGGTCGCTCGGTCTATATAGTTCGCTTGCGGACTACAGGCCACGGAGTTTTTTTTTTTTTTACGTAAGCTTAATATTAAATTTCAATGGCTACAGTTTATAATGTTTAGTATTACATTTTGGTGCATACCCTTTCCAATGCTCTTGTGCTAATAAAACTCTTTATAACGTGGCATCGAACTAGGCCTTAAGATAATCCCTGAAGGAATAAATGAAGGAACAAAAAAGAATAAAGGTTCCTTTTTATCGCGAGACCGAACGCTGTGGAGCTCCCAGTATCGTCAGTCGCAATGCGGCAACAATGTTTTCCGCTCCACCGTGTTCAGTCTCATGATAAAAAAGAACACTCGTTATTTTCGGTAAAGACTGATTCAAGAAGTATCGGGGTAAATTTGGCAATGACCCCCATGCACTTCGTCACCGTTAGGATGGAAAGTAAACAATGAAAATGACTTACGGTCCCTACCTTGGACGTGTGAGTCCTCAGGCTCGACTCCGTAGCGAATCCTTTTCCGCAGATGTTGCAATGGAACGGTCGGTTCTTCGCGCGTTCCACTTGCGCATCATGATTGCGCAGATGCTGCTGCAGGTTGCTGAGTTGGATGAAGGCGCGACCACACTCAGGCAAGTGGCACTTGTAGGGTCTCTCTCCTGCAAAAACAGACAGTAAAATAAATGAAAAAATTACATAACCGTGAGCTTCAAGATGAAATGTTTGTTTGGAAAACCACAAGAAAGAGAATGAGTGCGTATGAAGACAAAATGCTGAGAGACTGTTTTGTTCTAAGAGAAAGTAAAAGGTCATGATGGATTTTGTGTTATCATCTTCGTGCGATGACAGTGGGGCTATGATTGACAGAAACAATGTAGTGTGCATGATGAAAAGAGGAAATTCACATAAATGTTTGTAGGAAAATTTCAGTACAGACCCTTCGGGATGTAAAGGAGTAGACATAAATAAGAAACTGTGAAACGGACTGAACTGGCTCGGGTTAACAAACGTTTAGGCCTATTGTAACGACGGTAATACATCTTCAAATGGTGGTGCAACTATAATCACGAAATTTCAGGTTATCTGAGTGCTTATCAACTGAAGATCAGGCCGCGCCATAGCTCAAGCGGTTAGTCGCTGGCTTCCCACCGCAGCTGCCCGGGTTCGATCCCGGGTCTGGCCAAGTGGGATTTGTGGTGGACAAATTGGCGTTGGGGCGGGTTTTCTCTGAGTACTTCGGTTTCCCTCACCAATTTTCATTCCACCAAATTCTCCATCATCATAATCACCCGAGGCTGGTTACAATTGGCCAATCAGTGGCCGCCGTGCCGACCGGACCCAGCTGGGCTCCAACCCCCACTAAGCGAATTAAAAAAAAAACTAAAGATACTATGAGGCATACACATAGAATGACGAATGAGCTGAGTTCTAGAACAGGGATATATTCAAACAGAGGCCTGCGAGACTCTTTCCACTTGTCAGCGAAGGACAAATATTTTGAAGAATAATTTTGTTATACCTTGTTTCATAAAATATTTAATAGTCGTGTGTGCGAATGTGACAGACTGGTTGCGCACTTCACGCATTATTCCGCAGGTGTTGGTCCGCCCAATCGGTGCGCATAACCATGCTGGCCAGCCCAACATACTGAGTAACTCTAGTCTAAAGTGGAGGGGGGAGGGGCGCTAGTGGAATGCCATACTCCTGCACTGTTCTACTTTCCGCCTGAAACTACCGACGCAAAGACGAAGAAACTTCAGCAGGCATGACCTGTTGTCAGGTCACGATTCGAATTTCCCAATGTAAGTCACCGAATTCACCGATACAGCGGTGAATGCTCCTGCCCGTATGGAACTTGTACCGGGACATCGGCTCCTGAGGCTATCACTGTCAGTTTCTGTGGTTCTGCTAAGTGTCCCTGGTGAATGCATGCACGGTACTGCCTGGAAGATATTTACGCGGTCAATCCTCGCCATATCCATGTATTATCCATTCACAGTTGATGAAAATTTCTTCTTTTTTCCTTGGTTTCTTGGGGTGGGGCGCAACTACAACTGGCATGTCGACCACTGTTTGGCATAATGTGCCAGCCCCAGATGATGATGATGAGTGTGGAGCATGCGGTGGAATGAGAATTGGCAGGAAAAACCAAAAGCACTCGGAAAAAGGCTATAACTTGGATATTATTTATATGATGGATGATTCAGGAGGAAATTAAGAGGTGATTGAACTCGGGTAATGCTTATTACCATTCAGTCCAGAACCTTTTGTCTTCTCGTCTGCTGTCCAAAAACATAAAAATTACAATATACAAAACTATAATTTTGCCTGTGGTTCTGTATGGGTGTGAAACTTTGTCTCTGACATTAAGGGAGGAACATAGACTGAGGGTGATTGAGAACAGGGTGTTGAGGAGAATATTTGGACCGAAGAGAGATGAAGTGACAGGAGGTTGGAGAAAACTGCATAATGAGGAGTTTCATAACTTGTACTCTTCTCCAAGTACAATTATAATGATCAAGTCAAGGAGGATGAAGTTGGCAGGTCATGTAGCATGATTGGGTGAGACGAGGAATGCGTATAGGATATTGGTGGGAAAGTCAGAAGGAAAGAGACCACAGGAAAGACCAAGGCGTAGGTGGGTGGACAACATAAAATGGATCTTAGAGATATACGATGGGATGGAATGGATTGGATAGATCTGGCTCAGGATAGGGACCAGTGGAGGGCTCTTGTGAACACGGCGATGAACCTTCGGGTTCCATAAAATGCTGGGAAATTCTTGAGTAGCTGCTGAATTGGCGGCTCCTCCAGAAGGGCTCAGCTCCATGAGTAAGTAAGTAAGTAAGTAAATGATGGAAGAGTAAACTAAGACAGAGACGCTATACACTGGTAGCAATTTCTTGTATTTTTCTTAAAGTTACGCCACACAGGAAATTGTTTCAAATAAAACTTGTAGAACTTCATGTAATCTGCAGGTTTGTCCATATGAGATGTCTCTTTATACATTCGACGTCGAACTTTATTAGAAACGAATCTCTCCTGCCATCTCTTGTCACTTTACGGAAATATGGAAAAGGTTAGAGAACGATATTTTTCTACTTCTAAAATTTAGATTACTCTAGAATGAAGAGAAAACAAGAAAGAAAAAACTTATTGATGAATACATCAATTTCATTTGTCAAATATATGTATCAGGCATCAAGTATTGATTCCCGGAGACTGCAAACAAAGAAGTCGCAATACGAGTGCGGGGGGCGAGGGGTAAGACGGGGGTAGACGTAATAACCCCCCGATGGGCATTTCTTTATTAAAATCTCGAGATTTAATTGGATATCTTTTATATTGAAAAATTATAACATCTGTTGATGAAATTTAAAAGAAGGTGGAGAGAAAAAAATAATAATAATTCACAGATTTAAAAATTAAATTATGAATACATTCCTAACTGACACATGTTTGTGTGTGTGTGTGTAAAATAGAATGTTGGAAATGACATAACATCAATAAATAATTATAGTGCACCCATAATAACGAAGTCCATGTACTGTTATAACATGACGAAAAAAAATAATTACATACTACTCACACTTTTCACGGATATAGTGTATTTCACGGTTCCGAAGGAACAAGTCTTAACAGGTTTAAAATCAAACTTATTAATGCCTAAACCGAGATTAACGGGCGTGGGGATCCGTTGCGCTGACCACGTGACACCCTCAATCCGCAAAAGTTGGTACTAACTTCGCCGACAAGTGGCAGTCGCTCTGTCGGTATAGCTCGTTTGCGGACTACAGGTCTGATACGAAAATGTCCTTTCTGCAAAGAAACGTTAGCGTTTCTAGGAATTCATTGCGAAGTTCCTCATTATGTAATTGCCTTTAGTCGCGCATAGTTTAATTACCCAGGTTTGGACGCGATCATCACCGTTTTCGCGAGCAGCTTCAATCTGTTGTTTCCCTCGGGAATGGGAGATCCAGTTACGTGACATGAAGTAGTCTCTATACTAAAGAGGAAAATCTGCATTTAATGTCACAATCGGAACTGCAGAATTCTACGTTACCTACAACAGTGTGCTTTCATGTACATACCTCGGCACTTTGCGGGGCCCAACAAAACAATTACCGATGCAAATAAGATGGACAAAACAGAAGATACAAAGAAACCGCACCCTTTGGGCACAAAAAGATTTTTTTTTTAAAAATGCGCCAAAAAAGAATACAATAATTCACTACTTTGTCCATTACACAATACACTCGCGTCCAGTCGTCTGTCCGCCAGGCTGTCCGGACACGAAGTAAGCCTATACACATTTTTTTTTAAGTTTCCTCTCCTTGTTTTGTTCGTTGAAATTTTTCAGCTTCAGAAAGGGGCGGAGGGATGGAAAGGGTGTTCATTATTTAAAATGGCAGTTGCAGCTGTGTTTGGTTCATTCTTTAGTAGCCAAGCTACTCACCCCCACGGTGACGTCACACTTATTAATAGTGTGTGTCCACACAAGATAATACGTGAGAGAAACAGTCGAGCGTGTGAGAGAGACATGTCCACCTCCAGGCTTCTCCAGTCGACAAAATGGAGAAATTTACTCGATGTCTAAGCAGATATATTTCCGTAAACGCTGTCTTCGAGGCTGTGCATGACCCATTATCTCAGATAATAGTTTATTGCAGATACAAATCTACTGTTGTAAAGTTAATGGATATTTCTTATGTTCTGTTATATATTTTCTACATCTGTGAATGTTTCAGCTAAACGTTTACACATCTAGCATACAGGGCTCAATTACATCTGTACGTCACACTACCTCACTCACTCACTCACTCACTCATGGAGCTGAGCCTTTCTTGAGAAGCCGTCACTTGTGCAGATACTCAAGAATTCCCCAGCATTTTACAGAACCCGAAGGTTATGTCACAATACCTACATTTTTTCGTAAGGTAAGCAGTTTTGAGGAAATTAAATTATGTAAATATTAGAATTCTATATTCATCTAATTTCAGATGATTTAAACCTAAATTATTTATAAAAGAGTTCTTAATTACAAACGCAAAAGACTGACACTGCAGCCCACTATGCACTTCGCCTTTCTTGTGGAGGTACAGCTCCGGTATTTCTCAATAATCGGCACCAGATGAAGGTCAGTGGTTAGTTTCATGCTCCGACCGCTTTATCCTAGACAAGGCATCCATCGTACATATTTAATAGCAGGCTGGGATGGCCGTAGATCCAGTCTGGAGGCGGAGGTGAACAGAAAAACTTCAGCCTCTGCCCGAAATCGAACAGCGATTCTCCGGATGTCCGGCACGTAATCTAGCCTAGTTTACCGGTTGGGCTGGTTTCATTTATCGACAGAGGCCATTGTGAACGTACCGGCTCTTGGGAAACCCATTTTTCTTTCCAACGGGCACATTGAGGCTGCGACGTTAAGCTCGATACAAGCCTCAATCGAGAACCGAGATTAAGAATATATCGAGATTCACCCCCACATTCTATAAGCTCTCATGACGTGGCGCTGATTAGCGGGATCACATTCCGCTTGGGCCTTTTCACACTTATGTTCCTCTCCCAGAAGTAGTGATGATTCGGGAAGTGTTGAGCTGTCTGGTCGCTCATGCGGCTAAAACAGATGAATGTCCTATATATAGGCCTTCAAGTCACA